GGGCTGCTTTGGAGCATCACAACAAATCATGCACATCCAAACATTTCATCTTTGGGCAGCTCACGCTGCATCAAAGAGGAAGACTGGAGAATGAACCCAGGCCGGCATGGCGACTTTCCATTCGTGGAACAACTCCAAGCCAATCTCTGGAACACTGAAAGCTAAATTTCAGAAAAAATGAGCCCACCCCTTTAGTAATCCTACTCTCACCATGACTACTCCCCAGTCAAACTTTCCATTAATAGATTGGGGGGGGATGTGGGGGAGAAGGTTAAATTACTGTGTTTTCTACAGATCTTAAAAAGGACTACATTAGGGAGGATCTCTCTGGCTTGAAGTCATAAGTGCTACAGAAGAACAAAATACACACGTTCCTGTTAGAAAAGGAAGTGTCATAAAAATTGGTTGTTTTTTTTTTTAAGTCATAGCAATGAGGGAGGAGGAGTACTTTCTTGCATGAATCTGTATGTATGGTAAAAGGGAAGAAATGTAGTGCAGAGAAAGCTGTTCAGATTAGCCTAAAATAGAGTTTGGGCAGATGAAATCTACGGCTTACCTCTGTTGTGATGACATGACCCTATTGTCAATGATTAACAAAGAAGCCACTGTCTCTTTAAACTATTCAGTGCTAGGAGTTCCCAAGTGGAATTTCACCGAGTGTGTGTGTGTGTGTGTGTGTGTGTGTGCACAGATCATCAGCTTAAAGGACAACAGCAGTGTGGGTCTCCCCAGGTTGATGCCACTATAATAACATTCATCTAGCACAGCTACATGATTTTAGGCTCCAAAACCTTTCGAAAGCACCCGGGTCTCTGTTCCTTAGTAAAGTCTTTCCGAGAATCAGCGGGGCCTCCAGTCCAGACTGCCTGCTCCCAGAGCAAGGAGGAAATTTCCAGAACAGAAGGAATGATTTTTTTTCAATTCTCCCTCTTCCCACCGTCTCCCAAGAGTGAGCTGCAAATGCCCACAAGCTTGGAAAGCTGTTCCGCACACCGAAGCTTCTCGGAAGCAAGGCAGAGCTTGAAGTTACAGAATCCTGAATGTGCATCAAAAAGAAAAATGAATCACCAACTGGGAGAAGTGAGCTTGGACTTCGGGGGACCCTGAAGGGAACACCTGAGAGAGACATCTGGAGAGGGGTGGCCCCCCTTCCACTCTATGTCCCTTCCACACCCTCAATGGCTTCCTGTTTAGGAAAACACACACACACACACACACACAAACTCACGCACAAACACAAGTGAAAGACCAGTTTTACATTCCCTGTCATCATGCACAAACACACACACAGAGAACCTTGTTTTTCTCTTTTTTGTGTTGCCTGTAAACATTTTTTTTTAATGTAGTAGTCCCCCAGGCTACTTGCTGTGACTTTTCCTTTTTCCATCATGCCCCCTGTAGCTGTCACGGCTGATTGGCAGCTTTCTTTACTCGTGGTTGTTAATTGCCAGAAAATTTTTGAACCCGGATCAAAAGTGATTCTGATTCTCCATTGCTTGAGCTGCAGTGTTTGTTTCCTCGGCCTGCCTCTCGGCCACCAGGCTAACTAACTGTTAGGGGAAAAAAGGGTTCTAGTTGCATGTGAATGGGAAGCAAACCAAACCAAGCAGGATGATGAAAGGGAATTAGGTAAGGTGGCCCCACCCACTCCTGCCTCCCTCCCAGTTTGACTGGGGCCAGTTGCAACTGGGGGGCCAGCTGGAGTCGGGGTTGGAAGTCAATTAGCTGGAAACCTCAAGTCACCGCTGCAAGTCAACTGGGAGAAGGAGCAAATAAATGCTAGTGCAAGCTGGCCCCAGAGCCCAGCTCTGGCTGCTGCCCACACAGCTCAGAGAATATCCGTGCTCCGGCTGGTGAGCGTGTACACGCGTCTGCCCTCTGCAGATTTGCCTGTGGTGTGGAATCCAGGCCACCACCACTTCCCACAGGCTCAAAATGTCACAGCGAAGAGCTCAGAGGGGAATGCCTCCGAAAGCATTTGTGAGCGGTGTCTTCCCACACTCCTAACTCGGAATCAATACTACCAACCTACTTGCTTCTTGAGAAGAAGGTCATTAGTGTCAAGTTTCTGTGGACTTATATTATCTCCGCTACTATTGATGCTAATATCACGATTATATTTCATGAAAGATGCTGGTCTTGGATATAGTTGTGGTATTTCCTGGTTTTTTTTTTCTCTCTCCCTTAGGAAGAAGGAAGAGAGACAAAGTTGCTTGCTTTTCAAGTTAGACGGGGTGGGATGAGGTTAAACAAATATAGTAGAAAAGAGGTTTTTTATTTGTTGCAAATTAACAAGTAATAAACTGCAGTTGCTGGATAATAAAGTTGTCCCACCTGCACTCCCAGTTTCCCATAAAAAGGAGAAGAAATAGAGAAAGGGAAAAAGGAAAGGAAGGAAGGAAGGAAGGAAGGAAGGAAGGAAGGAAGGAAAGAAGGAAGGAAAGAAAGAAAGAAAGAAAGAAAGAAAGAAAGAAAGAAAGAACAGGAAAGAAAGAAAGAAAGAAAGAAAGAAAGAAAGAAAGAAAGAAAGAAAGAAAGAAAGAAAGAAAGTTCCTTTTGTTTATACCTAGAATTCAAATCACATCACGCCAGGACAGCAAAGCCTACTTTGAAATAGCTGCCTCTTTACAGAACACATACCTGAGTCTTGCTAAGAAGACAGAAATTCAGAAGAGTTTGAAACTTCTTGAGAACTTCCCAAACTAAAGAAAAGAAAGAGGACAGATTTTCATCCTTCCTTTCTGTTAAACCATGCCATCAGGAATACACTCTACAGCATTTTCCTTCGGGCAACTTCATTTTGTCGAATTTTTAGAATTTTCAGTTTTCACCGCGGTTTATTTCCAAGGGAACAAAACAGACCCAATACATTCTTGCCCTAACACTAGCCTGGAGAATCTACTGGAACATATTGATTTCTCTCTCTCTCTCTCTCTCTCTCTGAACACAAGCTCATTAACCTGAAACACTAAGGAGATAAAGATATTTTGTTGAGCCCAGAACCAAGTGTCTGAAAACAAACCAAAACAAAAAAAGATCTTAAAACACAGCCCTCTTCTCCGGGGTTCTCAAATTTTTCTTTTCTTTTCTTTCAAATTTACCGGGAGAAACTATGACATCGCTTTCTTAGCCCTAGAGGTTTTCGCATCAGTTAAAGAGAGCTTTCTTTAGCTTCATTTTTCTACAGTGATGTTTAGCAAAATGAGGTCTCCTGTCTTCCCACCGTCTTCTGCAGCCCTTCTAGCTATGGCTACGGAGAGGAAAACAGTGAGCTCCGAGCTGGCCCAGAGCTCCGCTCTCTGCTGTAAGCTAACGGCAGAGTGAGCAGCTATCTTGGATATATGGAAATGAAGTCTTCCTGCAACCCCTCCCCACCCCCCCAAGGGACTTCCTCGGAAAAGGAAAAAGCGATCAGGAAGAAATTAAACGACACAGACATCAGAAGCAGCTCGCTAGACAAGTCTTCTCCAAAGAGTGGCTCTGAGTGGTCTGCATTTCTTTCATCTTCTCGATTCGGGAGAATGAGAATGTGACCCTACTCTTAAAAAAAAAAAAAAATTAAGTAACAGCTATTTCATCCAAGAAACCGATATACCATTGTGTGTGTGTATGTGTGTGTGTGTGTGTGTGTGTGTGTGTGTGTGTGTGGTCTTGACTTTTATTAGTTGAGATCTCTGATGAGATCAGATGATCTGTGCCCCTTTCCTATAAGGAAACAGACGTCTTCAAACTGTTTTGTTTTTTTTTTTTTAATTTGATTTATCCTTTTCAAACAGAAAGTGCAATACATGTAACTGGTCTTGCAAAGGGGATTTTCTTCTCTTTACAAACCGAATTCCTTATATAAATTAATAAAGGTTAAAGATGCTAATATATCACCATTATTAGCTTTAAAAAGAAAAAAAACAATTTACATAGTCTATAGTATTCTTATGATACAAAACACTTCGAATTCAATTACAGCAACTAAACGGATTTTTATGTTTCTGACCCAGGGCGGCTGTAACAACTCCCGCCATCTACTTTAACACGCTTTTTTTTTTTTTAATCAGAAAGGAGTTAAATTAAATACAAGCTATCGTAGCCCTTCCCTCCCCAAAACTTTCTTTAAATCACTAATAAATAGCAACAAACGACTGTGCAATTTCAGAAAGGAGCAGAGAGGCAGGGGGGAGGTGCTCCCCGGTTTCCAAGTCGAGTCTTGGGGGGCGGGAGGGAGCCCAGCGCAGGGGGGAATAAGGCTGAGCAACGAGAGGAAAAGGGGGGAGAGGACAGTGAGTTTCAACAAATGCAAACGGGGACAGAGAGAGCGAGGGGAGGGCGTGGGAGGGGAGGGGGACCGGTGATAACCTTCTATTCTAGGCTGCTCCAATTCAGTTGAAAACAAAACGGGAAGGCGTGGTTGGAATAGCTCCAAAGAAAGAAGAAGGTCCCTCTTTTTATACGAAATTCAAAAAAAAAAAAAAAGCATTTTACATTTTAAATATTCACAATAAAGTAACTTCTAGTCAGTGTCACTCACGGTTTATTTACAAAGAGCCTTCAACAGGTGACTCTAGTCGGCACAGCGGGGCGCGGGGCTGGGGAGAAGACGCGCGTCCCTCCTCCCGGTCCGCGGTGAGCTGAGCGCGCGCGGGTGGCTCCGGTTCCCCGCGCGCCCTGGCCTTGGGTGCGACCCTTCCTTCCTTCGAAGGCACCTCCCGGCGCCCCCTCCCCGGCTGGCCGCCTGCTGGGGGCCCGAAGCCCGGCGAGGTGGGGCGTGGGTGGGCGGGGATGGGGACGGGTGGGGGGCACTGTCGCCCGGGTTGCAGGTGCGCAAAGTACAGCGGTGGCGCGTGGTCCTTTTTCTTTTGCCTTCTTGGCAACCCCCCTGAGTCCCCGTCCCCCGCCTGCGCCCCGCGGCTCCAAGGTTAAAAAAATAGATATGTACATCTCAGAAAGTAGCAAAGGTTCCCCGCAGGCGGGCAGGGCCGGCAGGGCCGGGCGCTCCGGGTCCCCAAGGCGCGCGCTGCTGCTGCTGCTGGCGGCCACCGCCACGCGCGCTCAGGACGAGCCCTCCGCCTCGGCCGCGTGCAGCAGGAGGCCCCCGCCGCCCCCGCCGCCCGACTTGTGCTTCTTCAGCAGCTGCGTGATCTTCTCGTCGTCCGAGTTGGGGTCCAGGGGCTTGTTGTAGTCGTCGTCCTCCTCCTCGTTCTCCGAGGCCCCCTTGAGCCGCTCCGTCTCCGAGTCCTGCTTCTTCTTGGCCGTGGCCATCTCGGCCGCGTGCTTCTTCCTCCACTTGGTCCGGCGGTTCTGGAACCAGACCTGGGGGGGGGAGGGGCGGGAAAGCAGGGGAGGGGGTGACACAAGAGGGGACAGACAAGGGGGATGGGAATTGAACGCGGGCACCCCGAGGAGGAGGAGGAGGCCGGGGGTACCACTTTGCACATCCCAGGTTGGGAGCTCCCCATAGGGGTCCCCCCCCTGCCTTGGTGGCCCGCCACCTCCCCCCCACCTTGTCTCGGTGGCCCACTGTCACCCTCCATCGCCCCAGGTTCCCGGAGTGACGGACACCAGCGAACGGACTGCCGTTGCCATGGTAATAGCAAGGCACACCAGAGCACTGAGGCTGCCCGTGAGGGATTCTCAGAAGAGGCAAAAACAAAACTTGGGAACTTAAAATGAGTTTCCCCTAAAAAAAAAAAAAAAAAAAGTGAGTTCGCTTTCCTGCTTGCTAGTTTGGGGTGGAAAACTTTTCCCCTCTTTATAAAGGCACCCCATAAAGTGGCTGCGATGTGATGATGCCTCATGTACTTTCTCAGATCAAGGAATTTTTAAACAATAACCTGGAAGGGTGCTCGCTTTTCAGCGTGATTTGTGGGAATAAGGCACGGTTTTCACCCCCAAATCACTTCCATTCTTTTCACTTTTAGACATTTGTATCGCTAATCTCAGATCTGGATAAATACACAATCACGGTAGGTGAACAATCTCCTTCCCATTTATAATTACAATGTATGATGCAGAGGTTTTTGGTTTTTTTTAAAAAAAATAATTGCTAAAATACAAACACCAAATCAACCATGATAACCAACATAAATGAATGACTATACTTAATATCTCAGTCAAAATCATCACAGTCGTTTTGCTCCAGAGAGTTCTTTTGCTCTCTCTCTCTCTCCCTCCCTTCAATGTTTTTCAGAAAACCAAAGCAAAGTGAAAGTTAGAATTATCATGGGTTATTTTTTAAAAAGTGAAAACCTGCCAATGACATTATTTTCCCATACTAGCATGACTATTATTTTAATATTGCTCCTGCCCAAGAAATTCACTTCATGTACAAATCGTTTTGTGCCTACTCATGATGTCCTGACACTGTGTTTGATACACATATTTTAACCTGAAGCATCAGCAATAAGCAACCAATGTCCCAAAGATACTGAATTATCTCTTTAGGCTTCTCATCCATTATGTATTTTATCTACAGAATCCAAATCGTTAAGGACGTTGATTTTGATTTTTCTTTTATACAGCTATAATAATTCACTTCTGGCCACGCAGACATATTTACAGTGACAAATGAAGACCTCCGGATTACCGTGGTAGGCTCTGTACCAACCCACTGCAAAAATAATAATTTTAGTGGTGATGGTATCCTAACGGCCACGTACAAAATCACTCCTGAGATGTATTTTAGGATGCTTTTCCAGGGGGAAATACCCTCTAACCAGCAGAGATGGTTAATGTTATTCCCACTTAATTTAAAGAGCAACGATATTAACCAATGCAAACAGACTTATACCCCAAAGAAATAAATATAATAAACTGAAAAAGAAGGATAAAATGGAATACTGAAAATACAGGAAACCATCAGGACGAATTGACCCAGCTGACTCAAAAAATCCCTTTATTTTTTCAGGGGCAGATTTCTAAAATCCGATCCCCTGGAAATTTACTGTACAACTCAATTATAAGTAAAGCGACATTTTAATTATAAATTCTTGTCATGGACCGTACGATATCTTAAATCTGTGGGCAAATTTATTTTAGACAGAATTCAATCCTAACACGGTAATAATCTTGTCAATTCATTTGGGAAATCATTCCAAAGTGACTGCCGTTCAGCCAAACTAAAAGCGGGCTCATCTTTGGTTAAGTGGTTAGATCCTGTGGCTTTATTTAAAACAAAACAACAACAACAAAAAAAAACTTGCAAGTTATAATACAGTAGCTCTATAATGATGATCTGCATTCGTCGTAAAGTATATAACTACTGGAGCCTGAATTGATAAACAAAATCTTGCATACCTTTACAAATAGAATAGATAGAAGCTATCTCGCTGGCGGGTGATCTATTCTCCGGGCTGATATTTCGGTAATGCTTTTTTATTCTCTGATAATGGCAAGTTCCCCTAGCACAGGCTGCTATCTAGATTAACCTAATTTCAAAGGCGGGGGCTTGATCCCTTTTGTTCATCCACAATGTGCCCGCCTGCGAGACCCCCACGCCCCTTCCCTGCTCTCAATTTCTCCCCAGCCTCCCGGTACCAGCACCCCCCTCCACCCCAACCCCACCCCGTCTGTCTGTTAGTTTGGGGCGCGCGTGCAAACGCCCGCAGGGCTCCAGGCTCATCCCTCGAGCTTTGCCAGTTCGGCTCACCTTGACCTGGCTCTCCGTCATCCCCAGCGAATAGGCCAAGCGAGCCCTCTCGGGCCCCGCCAAGTACTTCGTCTGCTCAAACGTCTTCTCCAGGGCGAAGATCTGCTGGCCCGAGAACGTGGGTCTCGTGTGTTTTCTCTTCCCGTCTTTGTCCAGCAGGATTGATCCTTGGTCTGCGAGAACCAACAAACAATGCGGGAATGGGGTGGGGGTGTAAACAATAGGTCACAAGCCACCAGCTCCACTGGGGGTGGGACAAACACAGAAGTCCCAGAAACAATGTTCTGCAGGGAAAAGAAAGCTGGAGTCTGGGGCAGACACCAAGAGCGCAGTGGCGCGTCCCTGAGCCTTTTCACGCCCACCTGTGTTTGCACAAGCCGGGTGTGTTCGGAGCAGGAGACACCTTCTGCTCAGCACCCACGTCCGACAGCTGGGGACCCTACTACTGCCGAAGTTTACCGGGGTCCAATCTCGAGGCCCCATTCCATCAAGGAGGGCCGGAGAAAGGCCACTCTGGCCTCCTGTTCCAGTCGGTGCGCCCTGGGCCTCAGCACCGCCGTTGCAGGAGGATAACTATGTCCCCCCACCATCCCCTGGCGCCCCCCACTTCTGTAACCTGCGTCCCGGCAACAAAGGGCTCCTTGTGTTCGCACACAAGGGAGCCACATCGCCCTGAAGTCCAACTCCGCGGCGGCCGAGGGGGGAGGAGGAGGGGGCGCAGCCTTTGTTGGCTGTCCCTGTGCGGCCACCAGAACTGACACAATAGCGTCTCCCTGACCCCCCACCGCCAGCCCCCGCAGCCCTGCGTCCCTCCCGGGCTTCCCAAGGGAGCCCCCTTTAGGCTCCCGCAACTTCCCGCAGTTTCTGCGGCTTAGCCGCAAGAAAGGAGATCCAGAGACTTGGGAAAACTTCAGGGACTTGGTGGAAAGCAAAGAACTGAGCGAAAACAGACCCCCGGCTGGGCTCCCCAGCCCCACCTGCAAGCCTGGGAGCCTCCCTGGCGCGGTGACTCCCGCGCCACCCAGACCAGGGCGATCCTGGTGCGACTCAGTGCGGGTCTCTGCGGGATGTCGCATTTTACCCGGTCCGTGTCCCTGCACTTCGCTTCCCACCCCTTCCCGTCCCCCACCCCCAGGCTGCTCCTTGTGCTATAGGACGTTGGACTCCACAGATGCCGCTACGTGTTCCTGGACCCCATGTGTCCCGCCCGCCGCGGTCGAGGCGGGTTGGGCAAGCCAGGCCCGGCGGTGGGGCGCAGCCTGAAGCGCCTGGGCGCCCGCCCTCCTCCAGGGGCCGCCAGCCTGACTTCCATGGGCAACAGGGACCACTGAAGAGGTGAGGTGGGGACGCCCCGGGAGGAGACCTGCACGCAAATACACGCGCTTCGCTCCGGGCGGTGGAGGGCTCGCGGCTGCGCGTCCTCCCCATTCGAAGACAGGCAGCAGCGGGGCCTGGACGGCGCGCGCCCCCGGGAAAGCCGGGGTGCAACGGCCTGTCCCGCCCTTCCCGTTTCTCTAACCCAGGCGGGCCTGCGGGGGCCGGCGGGGCCGGCTCGGGAGCAGCCAGGCCGCAGAGGGGACCTGCGTCCCCATGTCCACGCGGACGACACGCGCACGCCGGCCCCGCCGAGGCGCGCCCGGGGCTTCTGGAGAGGGAGGCGCTGGGCTGCAGGGACGCGAGCTCCGGAGCGCACGAATCCCGCCTCCAAGGACGCCCGGGTCCCCGCGCTGCCCGACCGCCGGGGCGGCGACAGGGTGGCCCGCCTGGCGCGCACGCCCGGGGACCGCGACCCGAGGGAGCGCGAAGAGCGGGCGGGCGGGCGGGCCGCGTACTCACGCGGGGCGCAGGCCAGGCGCGCGTCCCTCCAGGGCGGGCTCTGCATCACTCCGGGCCAGAAGATGGGCGTCCGGCCGGGCAGCTCGGCCAGCGGCTTGGGGTAGCGGCCCACGGCGGCCACGGCCGCGGCGCTGGGGCTGAAGTAGAGCCCGGGCGGCGGCGGCGGCGGGCTCAGGCTGGCGAAGCGGGGCAGGCCGGCCAGCAGCCCCGCCGGGGAAGAGGCGGCGGCGGCGGCCGCGGCAGCAGCGGCGGCGGCGGCGGAGGCGGAGGACGAGGACGAGGAGGAGGAGGACGAGGAGGACCCGGAGGGCGAGGCGGAGGGCAGCGCGGCCCCCGCGGCCACCGGCATGGAGGGCCGGCTCAGGATGTCGTTGATGCCGTGCGGGTTGGCGGCCGAGAGCTGCTGCGGGGGGCTGCCCAGCGACGAGAGCCCGCCCGCCGCGGGGGGCTTCAGGCCGCCGGGGTTGTGCGCGCCCAGGGGCGGGGACGGCGACGCCGAGGCCGACGACGAGGACGAGGAGGAGGGCGGCCCGGCGGGCAGCGCCGGGTAGGCGGCGGGGTACAGCGGGGTCTTCATCTCGGCCATGCTGTGCAGCGCGGCCAGGGGCGGGCTGCTGAGCAGGAACGCGCTCTGCCGGGCGCCCTCCATCGCGCCCACCGCCAGCATGCCCCGGCCGCGCGGGGCGGAGCGCGGGACGGAGCGCGGGACGGCGCGCCCCGCGCCGGACCCGCCCTGCCAGCCGCCGGGCCGGACCTCGGCGCGCGGAGTGGCGCTCGCAGGGACGTCCGGGCCGGGCGCGCAGAGCAGAGGCGCGGCGCGCGGTCCGCCGGCCTCCCCCCGAGCCCTGGGACCCCGGCTGGACCCGGCTGGGCCCGGGGGAGACCCGGCGCCGCCCGCGCCTCGCTCCGGCCCGCGGCTCAGAGCGCGCCGCTCCCATCCTCGCCCGCGGGACACGCGCGGCGCCGCCGCCCCCCGGAGCCCGGCCCGGAGTTCCCAAGGCGGCGGCGGCCAAGTTGAGAGTCCCCGGCCGGGTCCGCGCGGCCGTCGGAGGGTGGGGCCGGCTCGCCGTCCTCCGGGAGGGTCGCGGCGCGCGGGGCTCGGGCGTCCCGGGCCGGGACAGGCGGCCGCCGGGCCCCAAGGTCCCCGGGCTGCGCGCGGCGCCGCCTCGGTCCGGGCGCGGGCGCCGGAGTTGCGGGACCGGGGAGGAGAAGACTCTGGAAAGCGGCGGCCGGGAGCGGAAAGTCCGCCCGTTCGTCCGCTCCTGCGACCCGCCCCGCCGCCGCCGCTCACAGTCCTCCTTCGGGTCCGCTCGCCCCCATCGGGGCCCCGGCAGGCTGCGCCCGCCCGATCCGGTCCCCGGGCCCGAGCCGGCTCCTCCCCGGGCTCCCCGCGGGCCTGACAGCCGCGCGCCGCGCTCGCAGGTACTGACACGCCCGCGCCCGCCCGGGCCCTCTTCAGCGCGCGCGGGGAAGGCGGCGCGGCCCGGCAAACTTTGCGCGACGTCACTCCCGGGGCGGCCGGCCGCCGGCAGGGGCGTGCCAGGCCGCCGGTATCCTCT